AATTCTAGACTCATTCTTTTGCACGACAGATGTAAAGTGTATTTTGTTTTTTCCAAATGCTTTCCTTTGGGATCGGTAATATATATTATGTAAATTAAGGATAGTTGGATTTTATGTATTTTAAGGATTGCATAACTCAGGGACGGAAATAGTTTATTAGGGAGGGAGTCGATTAACATCTATCAAAGTTTATAAAATATGTTAAATTTTATAAAATGGTCTAAGTTAATCCTGATCCAAAAACCAACATTGACCCCTACCATATTTTTATTGGTTCAAGTACAAACCCAATAAGTACATTAAGAGCATGATCAATGGCAGATATTAGTGAATTTTTAATGGGTTGCTAATGGATTAAAAACAATTAAATAGTATTAGAACCTCAAAAATGGGTTGCTAATTTTAGTTTTTTAGAACCTAAAAAAGTGGGTTGCTAAGTGGGTTGCTAATTTTTAACATTTATTATATAACAAAAAATACTTAGCATCCTAACACTAACACCTACCATTGATCATGTTCTAAGTACTACAAAATAATAGTCCAATAAAACTCATCACAAATAAATAGTATAAATAAAATAGGTCTATTAAAGTAATTTAAACCTAATTAATTATCAATGAACAACCTCAAATTCTCTGCTTACTGCAATTCAAACTGGAAAACTATCCCCTCGCCAGACATTCATTTACATATAACATGTTGTGTTTTCATGCTCGGCAACTTGATCATCTCATGAAAGACCAAATAGCAAGCAACAATGTCTATCACATATCGAAGTGAATTGTCACTTCATTCCAAATGCATTTCAAGATAGTTTTACTATCACAAATCATGTAAAGACAACATAGCAGTTTGAGGATATAACAGTTGACAAACAAAAAGGATATAACAAAAACATTATAACTAACATATAATAATTTCTTAGTCAAAATAAGCATTCGGAATTTTCACGTTCCATTGTGTGAGGGAATTCTGGGATCGCCTATAATAAAATAAGTGCAGATCAAATCATTTAGATAATTATTTTAGTGCAGATCAAATAATTATTTTAGTATAGTCTTCGATCTCATGTATCTTGATTGCATGTCTTGTAAATCGTGTACATGTCTAATAAAAATACAGAAAATTCCCTTTATCTTGGCACTATCTGTATTAATTTTTCCCGAAAAAGAAAGCATCAAAATACGGTAGAGTATTTGTAGTACTAGTTATCACGATCGATAATATATAATTTATAAGAGAGTATATACTATATACCAGATGTGTTATAGACTTATAGCATAAAAGAACATGTGCCAATATTCGAAGTTAGTTAAAACTCTAACTTACATATATACCAAACTTGAAAGAAACTACACGTGGAGAAAGAAACACAAGAAAGTCAAGAGAAAACAAAATACTTAGAGCATGATTAAATCCATTTAATTATAGTGGATTTTTATTTATTAAATCCATTTAATTAAATCAAAATCCATATTATCATATATTTAAATTTCTAAATATAGCATTTATATTATCCAATATTTGGGTTATTATACATCTCTCTCTTTTCATCAATCCTAATATAATTAATATTATAAAATTTATATATTACTTCTAATATATTTTACTATCTATAATCATGCTTTTATAGCTCCACCCTTCTAGCATTTTTATTGGTCCTTCTTTAGTTCTTCATAATTGGTAACTTTGGTTCGTTGTTGGCCACTCTATTATGTAAGGTATCAATCGGTATTTGTCCTATATTAGAAGGAGTAAATTCATTTCAATACATATATATGTATTCGATTCAAAAGTTTTGCATTTCCATATTTTGAGTATCCGCAACAAATTTTAGGCACCCACCCGTAGTCAGTATGTACTCTTACCGTAAGTGTTTTCTATTTTTTTTTATCAATTCAAATTTACATTTTGTATGCAAAACGTTCAATTTGTCGAGTTAATAATAATTAAACAAAATTATAGATAAATATATTTCTAGCCAAACACCAAGTACTTAGTATTATTACCCATGTGCATTGTCCACTCCACTTGTATTTATATGTAAACGTAACTGCTCGTACTTGTACACAAACATTCAAATACTCAAAAATTCAGGAGTCAGGACAAATAATATTGCGGATACTATGCCATCCCCACATAGTTACCAAAATAAACACTATCTTCTTTTCTAAAAACTATAAGGAAATTTTTAAAAAATAGTTTAGATCGTTCATATATTTAAAATTTTATGTTCTAATATTTTTTAATATCACAGCATCACTATCTTCATTTTTTGGACTAACATATAATTTAAGAACAATGATTTTCAAAAATAGGTAAATTTCATCTTTATCTCGTTCAGTAGAGAATTACGGAAATTTTTCTTAAAGTTGTAATATAAAATAGATCCAATAAAATAGGATTTTAAAACATTTTAGAGAACCATCCATTGAATAAGGAGAGTTTTAAAGAAAACTTAAAAATCATTCTAAATCATAGATCCAGTAATATTTCTAAAATATTATGTTTTTTGGTCCCCACTTGAATCAAAGAAATCATTCAAGATTTCAATAAGATAACAAATTGATATAATAAAACCAAAAATTGCCAATGTAAATATATATATAGGTACTTCTAAATAGACAGAAATATGTTTTTTGTGTTGTTTCGTTTTTCTTTAAGTTGAAAACTCATCTACAACTTCTATTATCGTATTTAATTATTATTTTTATCTCGTATTTTCTATCACCGTTCATTCTTTTTTTTTTTGGGTCTATATCACCGTTCATTCTAAAAATACAATATACTTGAACTATGTAACTAAATCGTTATGATGCATGA